GGTTGCTGTGAGCTAGGCTGCACGGCCTCACTCTAGCCTGGGCAACAGATGAGACTCTGTCTCAAAAAAAAAAAAAAAAATTCCCAACCCAGAAAACCTCTTCACGAAGGTAGCAGAGGAAGAAAAGTTTTAATATTGAATAAACAGCAAACCAGAATGTGATGCACATCTCAGGCAATACATTACAAAGACAGAAAAAAAACCCTCACTCTTTTGTATAATCAAGCAGATACAACCCATTACATACATACATCTTCTCAAAATTAACAATATAAAGCTCTCAAGTAGAATGACAGATATACAATGAATATGATAGAATTGTTCTCGACAGAGACATTGGCACCAAGCCTGAGCCGATGTATACATGCCTAGGAATCAAACTAATATAAGCAGAGAGAAGGATTTATATTACTACGCATGGCTCTGAAATATAGCTGCTTACATGGAATAATGTGTGCTTCTGTTTATTTTCCTGGCTCGCTAGAGTTATACTTTAATGCCTATCCTTCAGGATGAACACTGATAATATGCATAACGTCTCGTTCTCTACATTCCAATTTTCTTCCCTATATTGGAATATTCGATAGTATCATGAATTATAATGAGGCTAATGAGCGAATCCTGTGCATTCGTTCTTGCCAATTGTAAATTATTCTATATAATTTTTTTTTTTAATTAATATTGATGGATGCAGAAGTCATCAAGATTCTGGTTCGCTTCATAAAGCAGTTCACCATTGACTTTGTCAGCAACTGCGATATACTATAGATATGACTTTTACTTCTATTGTAGACCTTCTACCTATATCGACATATTGTTCAATCCTCCTGAAGCATATATTGCTACACTCCTGGGCCAAAGCGATCATGTCCTCCTGCCTCAGACCTCCCCGAAGTGGTCATGCTGGAGGGATGTACTTAGTAGAGCACGTATAGATAGTAATCGCCACTCGATTGCCGCTAATTTTTTATAGGAATAATAAAATACAGTGTTTAGATATGGTCCGATGAGCTTAATATGGTCAGATTTAATAGTTATTATTTCAATAGATAATGAAGATAGGAATAGCTATCACATATACTGACTAGCTCTTATGAGCTATTAATTGTCCTAACTATAACTTCTGGTTTTCCGTTCATGTCCTTCTCTTTTCTCTGATGCTCAAACTATCTGCCCACCTCAGCCTCCCTGAGGAGGGAGGATTACAGGTGTGAGCCACCGCGCCTGGCCCGTTCCATTGTATTTTAGAAGCAGCTTGTTTTCTAGTTTAATAGGTACACAAATGAAGGTGAATTTTGCCACAGGATGGCTCATAACCAGAGTCTCACCCATACATGATTAGATGATGACATTTGGGACTTTTGAGTTAATGTTATTATTTATTATTTATTTATTTATTTATTTGAGACAGATCTCACCTGCTTGTTCCTGCTTAGAGAATTGTTAGTGCACATTGAACGTGTGCGTCAGACTAGCTCACTAATTAAGTGCATATCCATACAATACTCTCTTGTTTCTCAATTTAGCATATACTTCTCTGCCTCAGATCCTCCGTCGTGGTAGCTGGACAAGATAATGCAGCGCACGCGCCCACCTATCATCATGCCGGCTAATTTTTTTTTATTATTTATCAGTTATAATGATGGCTATATATATTATCTGAACTAGATTGAATATTCTTTCCTCCTAGCAGTTTTATTATAGACTGACCGAGGAGTGGAGTTCTCGCTCCCAGGTTCGAGTTTCTGACCAACTCTGTTCCTCGACCTGAGAGCAATCACGCCCATGCATACGCCTCGCTGCCAGAGCTGCTCTATAGAAATAATTAAAGAATACTCCTGATTGATAAACTATGTTTATGCTAATAGGTGGTCACGTATCTGTCCCTCTGCTCCTAGTGGACAGCGATCTTGAAGATGAGATCAGCTCTTATAGCAGATCCTCTCTAATGTTATGTTAAGATCATGGGTTTCCAGTTTCATATATGGATATAACAAGTCTCGTACACTCTAGCCTCAGCCTCCCAAGTAGCTGGGACTACAGGCATGCGCCACCATGCCTGGCTAATTTTTTCTCTATATTTTTAGTTGGCCAATTAATTTCTTTCCATTTATAGTAGAGACAGGTCTCAGTCTCACTCAGGCTGGTTTCAAAATCCTGACCTTGAGCAATCCACCTGCCTCAGCCTCCCAGAGTGCTAGATAGGATTTTAAAGTTAACGCTGTAATAGTTTGGCACTTTGGGGATGTTGGGATGGGGTGTGTGTATTTTGCACATGAGACATGCTAATTTTGGAGGGCCAATGGGTAGAATGGAGGGTTGAATGGTAGTCTCCAAAAAGATAGGTCCACTTTCTAATCCCTGGAACCTGTGATTGTGACTTTATTTAGAAAAAGGGTCTTTGCAGATGTAATTAAGATAAGGATCTTGAGATGAGGGGATCTGTGGGGGCTGGGCCTAGAAGAAAGGATGGATGGATTGAAAGAACATGAGCAGCTGAATGAAGGGGCAGGCAAAAAACGCCTGTCCAAAGCTGCTTGTTTGCTGTGTAAAGGAATGGAAGTTGTTCAAGAAATTAACAAAAGGACCCTTTGCACATGTCCTTGGAAATAAATATGGGAGGAACTTCACTGAGGAGGCCATTTTCTCCTTTAGGTTTTAGTCTCTCCCCTTGTCTCTAAACACTATGTGTTTCTAGTAATTATCTGTTCCTTCCCTACCAAGCTCAGGAGCGAAAAAGTAGCTGCAACAGGGAGCATCTTGATTATCAGGGAGCACCCTAATTCCCATGTCAGGTGTCTGTGCGAGTGACAGAAGAGAAGACACACAGGTGAGAAGGCAATGTGAAGGTGGAGGCAGAAATTACAGTGAGAAATTGCAGAAATTGCCACAAGCCAAAGAAGCTGGCAAACACCAGGCACTAGAAGGGGCAAAGAACAGCACCTCCTCTAGATCCTCTGGCGGGAGTGTGGACCTTGGTTTCTGTTGTTTTAACCTGCCAAGTATGTGGTGATTTCTTACAGCAGCCCTAGGAACCTAATATGTTTTGTAAATGTCACCAAACCCTAAATATGGGACCTACCTGATGATACCTGATTGTTAACATACTATGGTACTATGGTTCCTCTGCCCCTGGGAAGCAGGAAGCCTATAGCAGCCTCTCTAATGTAGTAATCATGGGTTTTCCAGTCCACTATAAATTGTCATAGATGCATTCCCAGGGCCGGGCGCGGTGGCTCACGCCTATAATCCTAGCACTCTGGGAGGCCGAGGCTGGCAGATCGTTCGAGGTCAGGAGTTCGAAACCAGCCTGAGCAAGAGCAAGACCCCGTCTCTACTATAAATAGAAAGAAATTAATTGGCCAACTAATATATATAGAAAAAATTAGCTGGGCATGGTGGCACATGCCTGTAGTCCCAGCTACTCGGGAGGCTGAGGCAGGATGATCGCTTGAGCCCAGGAGTCTGAGGTTGCTGTGAGCTAGGCTGACACCACGGCCCTCACTCTAGCCAGGGCAACAAAGTGAGACTATGTCTCAAAAAAAAAAAAAAAAAAAAAGCCTTTCCCGTAGAACCAAACAGTGGGATAAAAATAAACTACACTGTATTGGGTTAATTTTAATTATTTGAATATTTATCTGTAGCTGTTTTAAAGACATTACTTGGCACTTCGTCCTTTGGTACTATAATCTATAACAAATTTTTCTCCATGTTTTCAATTAAATGAAAAATAAAGATAAACTCCCTGTTTCTAAACTCCTAAAAAAAGAGAGAAAGAACATGACAGGAACAGTTGTTACATATAGCTCATCCTAAATTTACTTGGTAATTGGGGTGACAATCTGAATTACTTAAATTGGCTTTCTATAAAGAAAAAAAATGAACTTCTCACTTCTTTATGACCTCAGGTAGTTTTGGCACTTGGAGCATGTTGGGCTCCTATCCTCCCTCCTACAGAAACTGGGCAATGGGGACATAACTCCCCTGGTATTCACATTTCAAAAAGATGGTTCCTAGACCTTTTGAGAAAGCCATTCCTGGGTTGTAAAATTGGCCAGAGGCTATATATTTTCAGCTGTCCAATTAATTTCTTTCAATTTTTAGTAGAGATGGAGTCTCGATCTTGCTCAGGCTGATCTCAAACAATCCACCTGCCTCAGCCTCCCAGAGTGCTAGAATTACAGGCATGAGCCACCGTGCTGTGCCTAGCCCTCTCCTTATTTTTAACAGAAGTAAGCCTCTTACTTTTTTTTTGTATTTGCCCTTACTACAGAGTTCAGTTGCAAGACGCAGATTACTTATCTATAAATTACTTAAACGCCAAGGATTTGTTTGTTTTTAATTATCTCACAGAAATAGAAGCTACAATTTCCAGGATTTGTTCAATACCTTAAGATGTCAGGAAGGATCCAGGATTTTTCTCATCAACCTCCATACTATCTTCAGAGTACTGGCTTTCCTCCACTGGTCACAAGATGGCAACACCACTGCACACCACGACCTTATTCAAATATGTCTAAAGAAAAAAAGGAAGGTACAGATGAAGATTCCAACTGTGCCCGGGTTCTTTCTTATCATGGAGGACAATTTTTCCAGAAGCACCACAGTAGTTGTTCTGTCTAGTCACTTTGTGCAAGACTGAGGCAATGTCCCCACCAAGGTATGTGGCCTTTTAGCCTTTCTTCTGTAAGAAGAAAGCAGCCTGGCCAGGAACAGGGAAGGTAGGGAAAGGGCTCCTGACTGGGCCACTAATACCATGTCCCAAAAATAAGACACAGTCTTGTATTTTTTTTTCCTCAAGAAGACACTCTAGGGCTTATTTTCAGGGGATGTGTTATTTTACCCTCAAAGCCTCAGCTTACAGCACGCACAGGATGGCCGAGACCTGACAGGGGGAGCCGACCTTGTTGGTGGGTTGTGCAGTGCGTGCTGCGTAGCCACGCCCATCACTAGGGCTTATTTTCGGGGTGGGGCTTATATAGCACAAATGCTTAGAAATCCTGCTAGGGCTTATTTTATGGGTAGGTCTTATTTTCGGGGAAACACGGCAGGCACAGAGAGGATGAGTGTTTGCCAGCTCCCTGGTCTCCTGTCTCTCCCCCTCTCTTCCCTCTCACCCTTCAGGCTTCACTCAGACTCATTCTCTCTCACTCCCTGAAGGCATTTGGCCCTCCTGCCTCATCTCAGACAATCACTACAGGACATTACACAGAGGCTCACTTCTCATCACCCCATGTGTATGAAAGATGAACAAAACACAAAGTTCATCTTATGAGATTTATATTTATTTGATTTTTAAAAATAAAACAATAATGCTCTTTCATAAATAAAGAGGGGAGTTGAGGCAAATCTTCCTAAAGAAGAACTGCAAATAGAGTATGTAGATACTCCTTCTTCAGGCGTGGGAGTTAGATTCCCTTGCCTTTGAGTTACCTGGACTTAGTGACTAAGTGTGAAAAGAGAAAAGCAGTAGCTCCATGGGAGAAACCTGGCAGATAACACCCTCACCAGGTGATCAAGGTTAGCATCATTAGGGATCATTTGTGTGGACATCCTGTACCACCTAGTATGATGCAACAGGGACACTTTGCCACTCAGATGTTCTTCCCCTAAACCCACAACTCTAATGCAATCATAAAAAAAAAAAAAACCACAGGTAAATGCTAGTTGAAAGACATTGTATAAAATACCTAATGAGGACTTGTCAAAAGTGCCTGGGATCAAGAAAAACAAGAAATGACAGAGCCACTGTCACAGATGGGAAAAGACTAAGATATAACATGATTAAATATTAAATAAAACATGCTGTCCTGGAATGGATCCTGCAACAGAAGGACATTAGTGGAAAAACATGGGTGAGGCTGGGAGCGGTGGCTCACACCTGTAATTGTAGCACTCTGGGAGGCTGAGGCAGGTGGATTGCTCTAGGTCAGGAGTTCAAAACCAGCGTGAGCAAGAGCGAGACCCCCATTTCTACTATAAATAGAAAGAAATCAATTGGCCAACTAATATATATAGAAAAAATTAGCCAGACTACTTACGCATTCCTGTAGTCCCAGTTACTCGGGAGGCTGAGGTAGGGAGATGCTTGATCTTCCTGACCAGGAGTTTGAGGTTGCTGTGAGCTAGGCTGATGCCACGGCACTCTAGCCAGGGCAACAAAGACTCTGCCTCAAAAATAAAATAAAATTGTATACATTTAAAGCCAGGCATGGTGGCTCACACCTGTATTACTAGCAGTCTGGGAGACCGATGCTGGAGGATCACTTAAGGTCAGGATTTCGAGACCAGCTTGAGCAAGAGTGAGACCTGTTCTCTACTAAAAATAGAAAGAAATTAGCTGGACAACTAGAAATATATAGAAAAAATTAGCCAGGCATGGTGGCGCATACCTGTAATCCCAGCTACTCTGGGTGGCTGAGGCAGGGGTATTGAGCCCAGGAGTGTGCTGTCGCTGTGAGTTAGGCTGACACCATGGTACTCTAGCCCAGGCAACAGAGTGAGACTCCATCTCCAAAAAAAAAAAAAACGTGGGAGGCATACATTGGTTTGACCAAAAAGGAGGGCCATCTCGAATCAGGGGGCTTACAGGTTATAGGTGGGTTTAAAGATTCTTTTACTTGTAATTGGCTAAAGACAGGAAGCTTTGTCTAAAGGCTTGGAATGTTTCTACTTAAGGAGCTATTTATCAGAGAAGAGCCACCGGACATAGATTTTGTTGTGTAAACTGAAGACCCGCAGGTTTGTCTTGTATACCCTTAGGCCTGTTAATGAGTTACAAAGAATGTCCCCAAGAAGGGAGGGGGGCATGATGAGGCATGCCTGACCTCCCTCCTCCTGGCAGGCAATTTAGTTTTATTATATTCCTTTGGCTACAGGGGGTCCATTCAGTCAGCCATTGGAAGCGGGGGCTTAAAATTTTATTTTAGTTCACAGAACCTTACAGAACCTTAGAGACCACTCCTCTCCATCTTTCTTCTTTTGCTCTTTTCCTTCATTTTTGGAGGCAGGATTCCAGATTGAATGGCTGAATTACTGTGGAAAGTAATTGACCAAAGTCAGTCGTAACTACCTTGTTCTTTAATTCTGTTGTTTGCCATCATGACTCATTGAATGTTAGCCTTCTAGCACACATAACTTTGTGTTTCTGGATTAATTACATTTTTAATTATTTTGTAATATTGACAAAGAAGACCCCCATCTATTACTTGGGGCACCAGCCACCTGAGACCCCACCCCTCGGAAGACCTTCATCAACATCACACTAACCTATTAGCTGGCTCATCAGCATAATACTAACCTATTATGTGGCTCATCAACATAATATTAACCTATTACCGGCCTCATTAGCCACCTGAGACCCCACCCCTCGGACCACCATGAAAGTGGGAAAAATTGGGCATACTGGGCCCAGAATTTGGTGGCCAGACCCCTCTGAGCCCACTCATGAATAAACCCTGATTCTCCAACTCTCTGTGTGCCACTTGGTTTGTCAGAACCACTGGCTGTAACACTTGCTGTAACAATATATTTTCTGTGTTATATTTTTACAAAAATAGTGTATGAAACTATTTTATTGTATTAAACTTATTGTATATTTTATTGGTCTGGAGATGCTTTAAATTTGAGCTCATCAGTAGATAGAAACATAGATATAGATATATGTGTTCTAGAACATAAAAAGAGTTGCAAAATGCAAAATTTTAGTCTTACTTAAGTCTACAAAATTAATATTGCAAATGTAAAACTGACGAACTTGGTTCCTTTGATGTGTTTTTTATTTATTTATCTATTTATTTAGAAACTGGGTCTCACTCTGTTGCCCAGGCTAAAGCAATGAGTGATCACAGCTCACTGTAACCTCAAACAATTCAAGCAATCCTCCTGCCTCAGCCTCCTGAGTAGCTTGGACTACGAGGTGTGCCACTATGCCCGGCTAAATTTTTTTTTTTTTTTGAGACAGAGTCTCACTTTTTGCTTGGCCCTCGGGCTAGAGTGAGTGGCGCGTGCGTCAGCCTAGCTTCACAGCAACCTCCAAACCTCCTCGGCTGCTCAAGCGATCCTCCTGCTCAGCCTCCAAAGTAGCTGGGACTACAGGTATCCACAACCAAGCCCGGCTAATTTTTTGTATATAATTTTTAGTTGCTCAATTAATTTCTTCTATTTTTAGGAGACAGGGTCCTGCTCAGGATGGTTCGAACTCCAACCTCGAGCAATCCGCCCCGGCCTCGGCCTCCCAAGAGTGCTAGGATGTAGCAGGCGTGAGCCACCCGCGCCCGGCCTATGCCCGGCATTAATTTTTTAAAATTTTTGTAGAGACCGGAGTCTGCTATGTTGCTCAGGCTGTATTTAATGTGTCTGGTATTTAATGTGTCACTGATCTTTAATATTAAATGTGGATGGATTTTTTTTTTTTTTTTTTGAGACAGAGTCTGCTTGCAGGCTAGGTGAGTGCCGTGGGTGAGTGCCGTGGCGTCAGCCTAGGCTCACAGCAACCTCAATCCTGGGCTCAAGCATCCTCTGCTCAGCCTCCCCCGAGTAGGCTGGACTACAGGCATGCGCCACCATCGCCGGGGCTAATTTTTTATATATATATCAGTTGGCCAATTATTTCTTTCTATTTATAGTAGAGACGGGGTCTCAGCTCTTGCCAGGCTGGTTTGAACTCCTGGACCTGAGCAATCCGCCCGCCTCAGCCTCTCAAGACTAGATTAACAGGCGGTGAGCCACCGCGCCCGGCCCTGGATGGATTTTTAATATACCCGTATCGAAAGGAGAAGGGCAGCCAGTCACAGCTGGCAGGTTCTAAGGTAAATGGTTCTCAACCGGGCTGCAATTACATTATCTGGAACTCCTTAAGAATCCCAAGTCTGGACTGATTAGGGCATTTGACCTCATGACCAGAAATCTCTGGGGCATCCATTACAGTAGATGATGCCCTGGACAGGTGGAGTTTTAACATGCAGCCAAAACAAAACAAAAAAAAAAAAAACGAGGGGGCACAACAGGTGGGGGTGGGGCAGAAATGCAGCCAAAATTCAGAACTACAGGTGTAGGGGAACAAGAAACTCAGGTAGAGGAAATAGTCTCCTCCTATCAGTAATCAGGGTGGATACAGGAAGTTCTATGTAATAGGAGATTGGGTCCCTAGGGCCAATCACAGACCTTGAGCAGAAAAGAGAAAGCCTTGTATCCGAGCTTGCTGTGCCTATTGCCCTCAGAGGAGTCGTGCCAGGTGTTGGGAAGGTAAGTAACAGTTCTGCAACTTGCCTTTTTGTTCTTTTCTTCCTACTGTTCTTATGATATATATCTGCTCCTTCTTTGATGTTGGGGTGTCAGACCTCAATGGGTTACTGGGGTTTCAGGTCAAGCCCTCTTTGGTGCAGGGCTCCACAAGCATGACCACAGTCCGTCTAACACGTGTAATTACAACTGCGTAACCTGAGTCACAGGAAGCTGAGGTTCCAGCATCACCCCTGAAAAGTCTCAATGTGCTTGATTTTTCTTTCTTTTTTTTTTGAGACAGAGTCTCACTCTGTTGCCCTGGCTAGAGTGAGTGCCGTGGCGTCAGCCTAGCTTCACAGCACCTCCAAACATCCTGGCTCAAGCAATCCTCCTGCCTCAAGCCATCCCGAGTAGCTTGGGACTACAGGCATGTGC